TCGCTATGAGTCGGTTCTGACTCGATGGCACCTGACAACAACAAAGAATATTGAAACTACCAATAGGTAACATTTATTTATTTGTTACTCTGTCCTTGGTAGTTTCAATATTCTTTATCAACACCATAATTCAGATACATCAATTTTTCTGTGATCTTCCTTATTCATTGTCTAACTTTTACATACTTATGAGACCATTAAAAATACCTTTGTTTAAGTTAGGTGCACCTTGATCCTCAAAGTGACATCTTTGTTCTTGAACACTTTTAAAAGGGCTTTTCAGCAGATCTGCCTAATGCAGTACATTGTTTGGTTTCATCACTGGTGCTTCTACCAGTGTTGAATGTGGAACCAAACAACTTCAGTCTTTTCTCCGTTTTTCATGATATTGCTTATTGATTGACTTGTGAAGGTTTATATTTTCTTTATATTGAGGTGCAATCCTTATTAAAGGCTGTTGTCTTTGATTTTTATTAGTATTTCAAGCCCTCTTTGCTTCTAGCAAGCAAGGTTATGTCATCTGCACATCACAGGTTATTAATGAATCTTCCACCAATGCTGATGCCACGTTCTTCATATAATTCAGTTTCTCAGATTATTTCCTCAGAATACAGAGTGAATGGTTGGTGGTGATTATGTGCCAAGGAGTCATTTCAAACTCACAGTGACCCTGTACAGAGTTTCCGAAGCTGTAAATCTTAACAGGAGCAGAAAGCCTCTCATCTTTCTTTTGTGGAACAGCTGGTAGTTTCAAACTGCTGACCTTAAGGTTCGCAGCCTGATTTGTAACCACTACACTACCAGAGGTTAAAAAAATATAACCCTGGTACACACCTTTCCTAATTTTGAACCATTCAGTGTATCTCCTTGTTCTTTTCTAACAACTGCCTCTTGATCTGTGTGCAGGTTCTACCTGGGTACAATTAAGTGTACCTAAAAATTAGTCAATGAAAACAAGCCTGTGAGTTACAGAATGTTGTCAGGTACTTCTTCTGCTCACTTCTTTGGACGAGTCATTGAAAGGACCAGTCACTGCAGGAAGACATCATGTTTGGTAAAGTGAAACACCAGCAGAGGCAAGGGAAACTCAGTGAGCTGGGTTAATGTAGTAACCACAACAGTAGAATCATATCAATGATTATGAAGATGGTGTAGGACTAGGCAACATTTTGTTCTGTTATACCCTGGGGTTGCCATGAGTTAGAGCCAGCTAACAGCAACACAGTATCACTTTGCTAGCTATATCTTGAGAGCAAGGTAGCTCCATAGAATCGGCACTGAATTGCAAACCACAAGATCAGGGTCATTCATGCCCACCAGTCACTCCATAGCAGAAAGGTGAGGCTTTCTGCTCCCACAAAGTTTTAAAACTTCAGAAACTCCATACAAGCATACTATGAGTCGGAGCCAGCACTTAACAACAACCACAACAGTGATATCCCAACATACAAGAGTCTTATCTTTTTTGCGTAATGATTTAAACGCTGGAAAATATTGGGACTTTATTTATTCAGTGAGCTATAGAGGAGACTACAAAAATGAAAAACTTGCAGTCTACTTCCAAATGAAGGTCAGCTTGACCCAAGCAATGATATTTTCTGTTGCTTCATATGCATAACAAAAGCTGGGCAGTGAATAAGGAAAACCAAAGAAGAACTGATTGCTTTGAATTATGGTGTTGGTGAGGAATATTGACAATACCATGGACTGCCAAAAGGACAAACAAATCTATCTTGGAAGAAGTACAGCCCTAATACTTTCTAGAAGTGAGGATGACAAGACTTTGTCCCATGAATTTTGGTCATATTATCAGGAAGGACCAGACCCTAGAGAAGGACATCATATTTGACAAAGCAGAGAGATAGCAATGAAGAGGAAGATTCTTAGGGAGATGGATTGACCAGTGGAGAGCAACAATGGGCTCAAACATAGCCAACGAGTGTGAAGATGGTGCAGGACTGGGCAGTTTCGGTCCTGTTGTTCTGTCATAATCGATTTGGAGACATCTAAGAATAACAACATCCCAACGTATCGTTAGCTATTAATTTCAACTAAGAGCAGAAAGGCATTGTTTATGCCACTGGATTGCATATATGTCTTGAGTCTCGGTCCAAATGAACTATTTATTTAATAACCTTAATATAGAGAAGCTTTTGTTTTCTTTTAATTTTTATTATTATTATTATTTTAAATGTAGTTTACTTTCATTTTAGACTGAATCTGGCTATGGCTCTGAATCTAGCCTGCGCCGGCACGGATCAATGGTGTCACTGGTGTCTGGAGCAAGTGGCTATTCTGCAACATCCACCTCTTCATTCAAGGTTTGTGGTTATTAATGCTTTAAGTTAAGGCAACATAAATTTGTTTGGTGGTAGTGGTGATTATGTGCCGTGGAGTTGGTTTTGATTCATAGTGACCCTGTATAGAGTTTCCGAGGCTATAAATCTCTGCGGAAGCAAAAAAACTCATCTTTATCCACAAAACCGCTGGTAGTTTTAAACTGCTGACCATGAGGTTAGCAGCTTGACTTATAACCACTATGTTCCCAGAACTCCTTTTACTTTAGTATTAGATATAGTGAACAGAAATTATTTGATGGTGTTTTTAAATTAACTTTTCTGTAATGTTATTTATTGAAAGTTTTTATAGAGTAATTTTTAATTTAAGAAATAAAATCTCACATATATGAGATGAAAACAGCAGATTTTATTAATTCATTGTTGAATGTTTTTCAGTATAAATAATTTATTTATTCATTATTGAATATTGAAAAGAAAAAATGGTTCAAGAAGGAATCTGAGAAAGTATACAAACAAGACTGTTGAACAGAATCTGCTAATATGTGCAAAACTGGTCAATATTGATGGAATATAATGCATATCCACTGAACAAAGTTTATGTGCTTCTCTAGACCATCAATCATTTACATTACTCTGAATTTTCTGTTTCTTAAAAGAATTATAAAATAGCTTGAAGTCAGTGAAAGGCAAAGACATATAGGTTAGATAACATATTCCGTTAGTGGTCATTTACCATTTCTTTGGAAGGGCACTAATACTATTTTCCCTGACATTGTCTATTTGAAAATACTAACTGTTATATTAGCAGATTGTCAGGGTCATTATTTTCTTGTTTCCTTCAAGCTTATCAGCCTTAGTCAGTTTCAGGTCTATCCCCAGTAATATTACCTTGAATAAGACTAGAGCTCTCTCTACTTCATACCTTCAGTATTCGTTACAGACCTTAAAATGAAATGAAATCCCATAAAACCAAATATATTCCAAATTTGTTTCACTTGGATTTCAAACTCCTCTTTTCACCCTCCCTATTTTGTGTTTTGCAGAAAGGCCACAGTTTACGTGAAAAATTGGCTGAAATGGAAACTTTTAGAGACATCCTATGTAGACAAGTTGATACTCTACAGAAGTTCTTCGATGCCTGTGCTGATGCCGTCTCCAAGGATGAACTTCAAAGGGATAAAGGTTAATTAGGCTATTACCACTATTTTTACTTGGAGAATGAATGGATATAGAGCTTCTTGATCTAAAAGGGTAATGTCTTTAAGACACAAAGGTAATTTTTATAGTTACTTTTGCTGCAAACCCCAATGTGTAACATCTTTCACTGTCCATATAACATGTATACTTCAATAATACATTCTATTTAATTTCTGATCATCCATACCAATACGACGGAAGAATTTAAAAATAATATTCTTTATCCCATGATGATTCTTAGAAATAAGCATTTAATGTGTTTTTGTTTAATCCTCATATCTCAAATCATTTATGAGTTGATCTCTCTCTTTTTCTGTCCTTCTTCCTTTCCTCTCCTCTCTTCCACTTCCCTTCTTCTTTAAATTTTTAATGAGTTTTTAAAAAGAAAGATAAGAACTTTAGTTAACTTTTAGCATGAAATGAAGTTTGAAGTCACTTTTTTGGGGCTACTGCTGAAGCTATTACTCATGGTGTCAGTAACATCTGTTCTTTTACTCTTAATGTGCCATCAAAGCAAAAATGAATTGCTCACAACACCATTGTTCTTCTTAAAGTGCTGTCAAGTTGGATCCTACTAAACAAGACCCTGTATACAGTCATTGCTGTGCTTGAGCCCATTGTTGTTGTCCTGTGTCATTCCATCTCCTTGAGAGTCTTCCTCATTTTCACTGATCTTTTGCCAAGAGTGATGTTCTTCTCCAGGGATTGGTCCCTCCTAATAGCATGTCCAAAGTACAATAGATGAAATTTCAGCATCCTTGCTTCTAAGGATTATTTGGCTGTAATTCATCCAAGACAGGTTTGTTGGTTCTTCCGACTATCCATTATATATTTAATATTCTGTGACAACACCATAATTTTTCTTTGATCTTCTTTATTCATTATCAAGCCTTGCATGCATATGAGGCGATTGAAAATACCATGGCTTGGGTCAAGCACACCTTAGTCCTCAAAAGTGTTTTGTTTTTTGATCATTTTAAAGAGGTGTTTGGCAGCAGATCTGCCCAGTGCATTACATTGTTTGATTTCTTGACTACTGCTTCCATGGATATTGACTGTAGATCTATGTTAAATAAACTTGCCAACTTCAGTCTTTTTTTGTTTACCATAATGTTGCTTTTTCGGACAATTTTGAGGACATATTTTTTCCTGTTGCTGTAATATTTGAAGTGCAATGCTGTCTTTGATAGGATAATATCTGTATGTCTTCATACCATTGTTCAGATTTACACACCTACCACTAAGCCAGTGAAGATGAAATTGAAGAATTCTGCCAAATTCTTCCATCTTAATTGATCAGACATGCAACCAAGATGTATTGATAACAACTAGTGGTTGGAATGCAAAGGTTGGAAACAAAGAGCAAGCACCAGTAGTTGGAAAATATGGTCTTGGTGATAGAAACAGTGCTGGAGCTCACATGATAGAATTTTGAAAGACCAATGCTTCTTCATTGCTAACACCTTTTTTAAACAACATAAAAGGTGACTATACACAGGGACCTCATTAGATAGAATACACAGAAATCAATTGGACTACTGTCCTTTATTGATTGATTACACAAAGGCTTTTGATTGTGTGGATCATGACAAGCTATGGACAACATTTCGAAGTATGAGTATTCCAGAACACATAATTGTGCTCATGAGGAATCTGTACCTAGACCAAGAGGCAGTTGTTCAAACAGAACATGGGAACACTGAATGGTTTAAAATTAAGAAAGGTGTACAACGGGAATATATTCTTTCACCATACTGACTCAACCTCTATGCTGAGCATATAATCCGAGAAGCTGGGTTATATTAAGAAAAACATGGCATCAGAATTAGAGGAAGACTCATTAACAACCTGCGATACACAGATGACACAACCTTGCTTACTGAAAGTGAAGAAGACTTGAAACATTTACTGATGAAGATGTAAGACCACAGCCTTCGGTATGGATTGCATCTTAATGTAAAGAAAACAAAACTCCTCAACACTGGACCAATAAACAATATTCTTATCAGCGGAGAAAAGATTGAAGTTCTCAAGGACTTTATTCTTCTTGGATCAACTATCAACACTCATGGAAGCAGCAGTCAAGAAATCAAACGACGTATTACATTGGGCAAATCTGCTGCACAAGACCTTTTTAAAGTGTTGAAGAGCAAAGATGACAGCTTGAGGACTAAGGGCGCCTGAACCAAGCCATGGTATTTTCAATAACCTCATATGCATGTGAAAGCTGGACAGTGAACAAGGAAGACCATAGAAGAATTGATGCTTTGGAATTATGATGTTGGAGGAGAATACTGAAAGAACAAACAGATCTGTTTTGGAAGAAGTGCAGCCAGAGTGCTCCTTGGAGGCCAAGATGGCCAAACTTCGTCTCTCATACTTCGGACATATTGTCAGGAGGGACCAGTCACCATCATCTTTGGTAAGGTGGAGGGTCAGAGAAAAAGAGGAAGACCCCCTGCGAGACGGATTGGCAAAGTGGTAACATCAGTGGGCTCAAGAGTGACAACAATTATGAGGTTGCCCCAGGACTGGGAATTGTTTCGTTATGTTGTACATAGGGTCACTATGAGTCGATACTGACTCAGTAGCACCTAAAACAATATCATCTTTGGAAAGAAATGGTGAAAAAGTTCCATATCATCAGCCAAAACAAGACTAGGGCAGACTGTGGAACAGACCATCAATTGCTCGTATACAAGTTCAGGCTGAAGCTGAAGAAAATTAAAACAGGTCCAGGAGAACTAAAGTATGACCTTGAGCATATCCCACTTGAATTTAGATGTAATTTGAAGGACAGATTTGATGCATTAGATGCTAAAGACCGAAGACCAGAGAGTTGTGGAACGACAGTAAGAAAGCAAAAGGTCCTTAAGAACACAAGAAAGAGGGGATAGACCAAAATGACAAAATGGATGTCAGACAAGACTCTGAAACTTGCTCTCCAACGTAGAGATGCTAGAGCAAATGGAAGAAGTGAGAAGGTACAAGGGCTGAACAAAAATTTTCAAAGGACAGTTGGAGAAGACAAAGTCAAATATTACAATGAAATGTGCAAAGACCTGGAGTTAGAAAACCAAAAGGGAAGAACACGCCCAGCATTTCTCAAGCTGAGATACCTGAAGAAAAAACTCCAGCATCGACTTGCAATATTAAAGGATTCTATGGGCAAAATATTGAGTGATTCCGAATGCATCATAAGAAAATGGAAGGGATACACTGTACCAAAAAGAAATGGTCAATGTTCAACCATTTCATAAAACTAATGGGAGGAATATACATAGTCACTGTGCCAAAAAAGAAATGGTCTATGCTTAAACATTTAGAGAGAGAGCATATGATCAAGAGCCAGTGATCCTGAAGGAAAAAATCCAAGGTGCATTGAAAGCATTGGCAAAGAACAAGGCACTAGGAATAGATGGAATACAAATTGAAATCTTTCAGCAAACTGATGCAGCAGTGGAGGCACTCACTCTTCTATAAAAGAAATTTGGAAGACAACTACCTGGTCAACTGACTGGAATAGATCATGTTTGTGCCGTTCCAAAGAGAGGTGACCCAGCGGAACGTGGAAATCATCAGATAATATTGATATCCCATGCAAGTATAGCTTTACTAAAGATAATACAAAAACTTCTGTAATCATACGATGACAGAGAGCTTGCAGAGGTTCAAGCCAGATTCAGAAGAGGATGTGGAAGGAGGGCGATCATTACTGACATCAGATGGATCTTGACTAAAAGCGGAGAATACCAGAAAGATGTTTACCTGTGCTTTATTGACAATGCAAAGGCTTTCGATTGTGTAGATCATGACAAGCTGTGGACAACATCACGAAGAATGAGTATTCTGGAATGCTTAATTGTGCTCATGAAGAACCTGTGCGTAGACCAAGAGGCCATTGTTCAAACAGAACAAGGGAACACCAAGTGGTCTGAAATTAGGACAGTGTGCGACAGGGTTGTATTGTTTCACTCAATCAGTCTGTATGCTGAGCAGATAATCCAGAAAGCTAGATTATATAAAGAAAAACATGGCATCAGGATTGAAGGAAGACGCATTAACAACCTATGATATGCAGATGATACAACCTTGCTTGCTGAAAGTAAAATACTTACTGGTGAAGATCAAAGACCACAGCCTTCAGTATGGGCTGCATCTCAGTATAAAGAAAACAAATCCTCACCACTGGATCAATATAAGTAGAGAAAAGATCAGAGTTGTCAGAGACTTCATTTTGCTTGGATCAACCATCAACACTCATGAAAGCAGCAGTCAAGACATATTGCATTAGGCAAATCTGCTGCTCAAGACTTCTTTAAAGTATTGAAGAGCAAGATGTCATTTTGAGGACTAAGGTGCACCTGCCCCAAGTCATAATATTTTCGGTAACTTCATATGTATCCTAAAGTTGAGCAGTTAATAAGGAAGACAGTAGAAAAATTCATTGCATTTGAGTTATGGTGTTGGAGGAGAATATTGAGAATACCATGAACTGCCAAAAGAACAAATAGATCTGTGTCAGAAGAAGTACAGCCAAAGTGTTCCTTGAAGGCCAGGGTGGCCAAACTTTGTCTCTCATACTTCAGACGTATTACCAGGAGGGACCAGTGCCTGGAGATGGACATCATGTATGGTAAATGGAGGGTCAGAGAAAAAGGAATACCTCCAATGAGATGGATTGGCACAATGGCAGCAGCAGTGGGCTCAGCAATGATTGTGAGGTTGTCCCAAGACCGGGCAGTGTTTTGTTCTGTTGTTCATAGGGTCGCTGTGAGTCAGTACCAACTCGACACCCAACAGCAACAACATTCTGAAGTACTATTCATACTGAAGGTTTTATGTAGTTTTTGATCTTCTTCATCAGTAAGTGCTTCAAATCCTCTACATTTTCAGCCAGCCAGGTTGTGCCATCTGCATATCACAGGTTGTTAATGAGTCTTCCTCCAATCCTGATACCAGGTTCTTCTTCATATAAACCAGCTTCTCAGATTATTTGTTTAGCATACAGATTGAATAAGTGTGGTGATATAACCCTGACACACCCTTCTGATTTTAAACCACTCAGTATTTTTTACCCTTCTTCTGTCTACATAAGCACAATTAAAATTTTCTACAATTTCCATTCTTTACAGTGTTATCTACTACGACACTAAGTATTACAAAAGACAATACTCAGTTCATTCCCAATAAAACTAATCTACTTGACATAGTTTCATTTCTTGGTGTTACTAAGTGTGTTTGATCTGAGCTCAGATACTTTTTTTTTTTGTTCTCTTTTATATTATTCTATTTTATTTCTTTTGTGGACTTGTAGTTGTTTTATTATTTTAGTGACTAATTTATATAGTATACCTAGTTGATCATCACAGTCTGCCTTCCATATTATACCACTTCATGTATAGTATAAGAACTTTATAAAGGCTCTCCTTTATAGAACCTTTCTCCCCACTACTGAGGCAACAGTCTTCCGAGTCCTCTAACCAAGTCTCTGTGAACCTCAGCCCAATCTTTTTTATCCATGAAACTTTGATTAAAAACCCGCTTGATATCAATGGAATATCAGGTAAAGATAATTAAAATAGAGTAGACAGTAGACTAAAAAGAGGCATACACAGAAGGAGAGTAACAAAGGGTTCTTGTTTTATATTTGGTTTTGAATTAAAGGGAGTCCTGGTGGTGCAGCAGTTAAGCGCTCAGCTGCCAACCGAGCCCACCAGCTGTTCCATGGAAGAAAGATGTGATAGGCTATTGACTCAGTTAAATATAAGAATAAGCTGGTTTATTTTATTTTGTTTTGCCCTAATAATCTTACTTAAAAATGTGATTTTTCTTTAGTGGTAGAAGATGATGAAGATGATTTTCCAACAACACGTTCTGATGGAGATTTCCTGCATAATACCAATGGCAATAAGGAAAAGAGTAAGTAATACATTTTCCTCCTTAGTTGGATAAAATACTTTCTGAAGTTAAATAATAATTTACTATACATCAAGGAACCTCTGGAAGTTCTCTGTCAATGTATGATTGTAGTCATTTTTGTATTACCTTTAGCAAAACTTTACTCGCTTGATATATCAAATTTCTTGTGCCACCTCACTTTCTTGAAAGATTTCAATTTTTCCATCAATTCCTGGTGCCCTGTTCTTTGCCAATTCCTTGGACTTCCTCCCTGAGTATCATTGGTTCTTGTATGACTGCGCAAAGGCTTTCAATTGTGTGAATCATGACAAGCTATGGACAACATTGAGAAGTATGAGTATTCCAGAACACTTCATTGTACCTCTGAGAAATCTGTACCTGGACCAAGAAGCAGTTGTTCGAACAGA